GGGGAGGGAAGAGAGAAAGAGAGACAAAGAAAGAGAGAAAGAGAGGAGAAGAGGAAGAGAAAGTAGGTCGAGTTTCGGTTTTTAAAGAGACTGAATATTAACCTTCATCAGGCGATGAAAGGAGACAGTGACAGAGACCCACATTGGAGCACCGGGCAGAAATCTCAAGGTCCAAATCAGGAGCAGAAGGAGAGAGAGCACGAGCAAGGAACTCAGGACCGCGAGGGGTGCACCCACACACTGAGACAATGGGGATGTTCTATTAGGAACTCACCAAGGCCAGCTACCTGGCCCGGGTCTGAAAAAGCATGGGATAAAACCGGACTCACTGAACATAGCAGACAATGAGGACTACTGAGAACTCAAGATCAATGGCAATGGGTTTTTGATCCTACTGCACGTACTGGCTTTAGGGGAGCCTAGGCAGTTTGGATGCTCCCCTTACTAGACATGGATGGAGGTGGGTGGTCCTTGGACTTCCCACAGGGCAGGGAACCCTGATTGCTCTTTGGCCTGACGAGGGAAGGGGACTTGGCCGGGGGAGGGGGAGGGAAATGGGAGGTGGTGGCGGGGAGGAGGCAGAAATCTTTAATAAATAAATAAATTTAAAAAAAAGAGAGAGAGAGACTGCCTGCTCCTCACTCAGGCTTAAGCAAGGCATCTGTCAGGTCCTCAAGAGGCGGAGCCAGGTTCCTCTGGAAGTAAACACTGAGGTCCTCATGCTCCTTGGTTTTACTCACTTTAGCTACCTCCCTCTTCTTCATTTGACATACTCTTAAGAAACCATTTTAAGATAAATAATTTAAATAAAGAAATATTTAAGATAAATAATGCAGTGGAACTTAGGAAAACATCAAGGATTGCAGACTAAATTGCACAAGGAATTGAGTTCTGTAACTCCTTTAATTTAGCCTCAGGGTATAGGGTTGGGGATGAGGTGGTTTGGCATGCTTACCAGCTGCTGTCCTTGCACACCCCAGGCCGCATACTGCAACACTGAGTCCTCGACTTCAGGAGGATTCAACTCCCACACTTCCCTTGAAAAGATGTCAATATTTTCACGTGAACAAACTGACATCTGTGACAGCTTAGCCTGTCAGAAATGCTCATAAAATGCAGAAAACCAAAGAACTTACCCAGTGTGTATGTTGTAAATCAAATATGAAGCGGTAAATGAGTAATGAAAAATCTGAAATAAAAAAGAATAGAGTATTCAATCATTGTATTAAAAGAAGTATTGATCTTAATGCATACTACAAATTGATATTAGGCAAAATACTCCAGTTAATATGGCTAGTATTTTTATGCCTTTTTAACTAGAAATCACATCTTTCTATTATCCATTCTGTTTATCCTGCTTTCTGTGTGTGTGTGTGTGTGTGTGTGTGTGTGTGTGTGTGTGTGTGTGTGTATGACTCTTCGGAACCCGAGGTCAAACTATGCTCTAGTTCGTCAAGTACCATCTCTATCTTCTTGGGTTTTGCCTAGTTATTGAGACAGGGTAACCCACTGGCCCAAAATTTATTGCTGAAGTTGCCCCAGCCACAGGGTCCTTAAACTTGGCTGTTATGTTAAGTATTAGTACCTCTCTTTCCTGATAATCTTCTCTTCCCTAAATCAACTTCCTGCTTCTCCAAGACGCTCAAGAGCTTTCATGTTCATGTCCTTCTGCTCCATCAAAGTCTATCTCACATTGTCTAGCCTATATGTCATGCCTAGCCTATATGTCCTGCCTAGCCTATATGTCATGCCTAGCCTATATGTCATGCCTAGCCTACATGTCAAGCAAATTAAATTCACTTTCTCTAGGTCTTTTATGCATGTTGTTTTAAACTTATTTATTTGTCTAATTTTTTTTAGTTAGGGTATCCTTAATTGAGGTGGAAATTTTCTTTGGATGTAGCCTATTCATGTTGCTGTTACTGACACTACATTGAAATGTATTTTACTTTCAGCCTTAGAAACTCTCTAGGGCATAAGGCTAATTATATCAATATTTTAAGGATGTCTTCTTTTCCCAGACACAAGACTGAATGACCTTCTCAAGATCTTCTAACTACATGGTATTGTGCTTATACACAATACCCAGATGATTTTTGCTAAACAGTCTTTTTGAAAGGGAGAAACTCATTTTTTGTGTTTGCTAGTAAAAACAAACTGGGTTATTACCTTTTTGTCCTTGTAGAGTAATGCTTTATTAAATTGTTGCTACTCAGTAATCTTCAGGAAATTCTTTAAATTTTATTTATTATTTATTTGTTTATTTATCGGGTTTATTAGAGACAGGGTTTCTCTGTGTAGCTTTGGCGCCTGTCCTGGAGCTAGCTCATGTAGAACAGGCTGACCTCGAATTCATAGAGATCTGCATGCCTCTGCCTCTCAAGTGCTCAGATTAAAGACATGTGCCACCACCATCCAGCTAAATTTTATTTTTAATTATGTATATGCAGTTGCATCTGTGGGAGTATGCCTACATTAGTACAGTTACTCCCAGATGGCAAAATAGTTGCTGGATCCCCTGAAGCTATAGTTACAGGTGTTTGTGTGCCACTACCCTACATGAGTGCTGGGACATGAACACAGGTCCCCTGAAAAATCATCGAGCTCTCTGAACTTCGGAGTCATTTTTCCAGCTCCCCATCAAGATATTTTAGTGTTCTCCTTAAATGGTTCAGCATATAAAGCACTTGCCACAGCATAAAGCCTGAAGCTTAGTTCCCTAGAACATGCCTAAAGCCATGTGAGTTACTGCACATTGTCAATCCCCATGTGATTTTAGTAAGATGGGGAAAAGACACGACAGCCTCCAGAAGCTCAGTCACCAGTTAGCTTGGCACACTCAGTGGGAAATGAAAATGGAGACTGTCTCAAGCACCTGAGTAGTTTTTAAATCTGAGATTGCCTTTATCGAGAGCTAAGAAAGCAAACACAGTGTTTGTTTTTATCTATGTTGACGTTCACCACATATTCAATAAAATTATGTATCTAATTGCAAGTTCTATAATTTTTGTTGTTTGTTTGTGGGTGGCTACATGTGGGTGTGCAGTTGAGCATGAAGTTGCATTGCATGCATGAAGGCTTCGGGAAACTCAGGTGTCTTCCTTAGTTGCTTTTCAACTTGAAAATAAAGTCTCCATCTCCTTTGTGTTTTGAGATAGTGTGTCCGAACCTGCGGTTCACTGATTCAGCTATGCTGGCTGACCAATAAGCCCCCAAGGATACTCCTATCTCTGTGTTTTCAGCACTGGGTTGCAGGCAATCTCCACCTACTCTAGCTTTTTAAACAGGATTTATTCTTAGTTTATGCACATGAGTGTTCAGCCTGAGTGTGTTTCTGTGCACAGTGTGCATGCATTATTGATGGAGGCCAGAAGGTTGCTTGAAACTGGACCTAGAGGTGGCTGTTAGCTACTATGTGAGTGCTGGGAATTAAACCTGGATTCTCTGGAAAAGCAGTCAGCATGCTGAAGCCCTGAGAAATCTCTGTAGCCCATGTCTAGCTTTATATGAGTTCTGGAGAACAAATCCGGGTTCTCTAGGATTATGTGGCAAGAGCTTTACCAACTCAGCCATTCCCTTACCCCTTACTTCAGTATATATTTTAATGGCTTTGTATGTCAAACTTACACTGGTCCCAGTGTCTGCATCTTTCCAATTTTAGCATATATTCTGCCAAAGCAAGCACTGACTTCAAGCTTGAAACTGGATCTACCATTATAGCTGACAAAGAGATGAGAAATATGCCTGCCTCTGTCAACATCTTTTATCTCTAAACATTCTGTTCACCAAAGCAACCTGTCAACTGAGCTATTGCTCTTCACAACAGATAAATGTGTGGACTGTGTTATGAGTGCAAAGCAGCCATTCACCCCGATCACCCAGCACACGTAGCCGTTCACCCTTGCCATAGATCACTCAGCACATTTGTCCAGGTTTCTAGCTCCACATTAATCATGCAAGCAACATTTCTTATGCATTAACATTTGGAGCAAGACCGACCAATAAAATAATCACTGAAACATGAGTTTGTAGAGCCAGGGAATGTTGTTCTCTTTCTATAATAGCTAGTCTAGACATTGCCAGCTCTTATATGGGAATCTAAAATATGTAGATGGGGGCTGGAAAGATGGCTCAAAGACTAACGTTCTTGCTGTGTAAGCACGAGGACCAGAGTTCAAATCCCCAGGAACCCATGTAAATGTTTGTTGTATACAGCAGTCTACCTTTAATTTCAGTACTCTTATAAATGGAAGATGGGTTTGGTGGCCTACTGTAATTCCTGCCACAAGAGATTGAGACAGGGATCACCAGAGCAAACTGGCTAGAAAAACTAACTATAGTGGTGAGCTCTGGGATTGGTGAGAGACCCTGCCTTATTAATATCAGCTGGAGGATTGATTGAGGATAATTTCTGACATCAGTGATGGGCTTTCACATGAATGAATATACATATGCACAAACACACATACACAGGCACACAGATGCACACATACACACATGCATGCACATAGGGACATACACACAAATAATCCATATGCCCATATATATACCACATACACACATAATGAATATGAAAAAATAAAACAAAATTCTTAACTGGCTTTCAGATAATATGTATTAGAGTACAGGAAAAAAACATGTGTTTTCTGATTTGTGGTACATTACATTCTTTTCTGTCTGCAGGTATGGCATGGTGGAATATTACTTCTAAGTTATCTCTAGTTGATAGCTCTGACTAGTCTGTAAAGCTATAGCAGAAGCAGATTGAAACAACAGGGTTTTGATCCCATCGATACATGCTACAAAGTCAAAAGTTCTTAAGATATCTTAGAATCTAGCATTGTATACAGCTTAGAGCTTTTTTCTATAAATTCGATATCCTTTGTCATAATGCATTAGGCTGGATGTGTCCATATGTCCATTTCCCTCAATGACCTCAAATATGCCTTATTGTATAATTGTGTAGAATGAAGATCAGATCCTATACCCACAAAAGAACATAGAATATGGATGATAGAAAGGAAGGTCTCAAATCAGGCTAAGAGTATGTGTTCTCTCTTTCCCTCTCTCTTTATGTTCTTTCTCTCTCCTTCCCTCTGTAAAATGATGGATTAACCTTAAAAGCAGACTATTCAATGAAAAGTGTATTTATCTTTAATGAACATCTACTTAAATACACTGTTCTAAACTCACCTTTTACCCTTCCTATCTTTAAACATTTCTTTATAGTATTCCTTTTACAAATCATTTCTTTTCTTTTTCAGATTATAATACAGCTACATTGTTTTTAATCAAACAGAGACCGTCACAGAAAACCACAAGCAATCAAAAATATAGAATGGTAGAGTCTAGTCCCACTGTATGCATTTACAATTCAACTCCCAAACCTCAGGCTCTGGGATTATTGCATATGTGTGAATAGAAAGATTTTAAAAGATAGAGGATTACAAAGTTTCATATGAGATTGTATCTCTTGGTAATAGCAAAAGCCAAGTCTATAAAGTCTTACCATCATGACTGTCTAGACAGGAACTGAACAAGAACAGTAACAATAAGCCTGTTACTGTGTATTGAAGGAGGTAAAGCTTAGGAAGTCTCAACCCTACAGGAAGAACTAAAGACAACTAAGGAATCTTTCTAATTATTGATTAACATATAACTCGTTTACTTTTAGTCTTGGCTCCCTTTCTTTATGGGCAAGGCAAATCTGATTACACACCCGGGAGTAATCTAGTATCTACCTAAGTTTAGTGAGACAGTAGAGTAGAATAGAGATTGAGTTGGTTCGGGAGATCCTTGGTCAGAGGCAGGTAAGTTAATGTGGGAAAGAAAGCCGTCAGAAAAAAAGCAAAGTTGGGAATCCCTGGATAAGGCCATCTAAATCCCACTGGTGTGACACAGAGTTACAAAATATCTGTAGGTGATATATGGTTTATTATAATACTAAAGCACACACATGAGACTTCACGTAAAACTATATGTAGTAAACAGAGAATATGTAAGGAATTCCATGCTATACAAATGAGCCCCAAAGTCCATACAATCCAAGCCACCTAAAAATGCATGCAATGTGACATACAAACCCCTAATTCTTTGGGCAGTGGGTATGTTTGTGTTTCTGTATTTTAACTTATATCTAGTCTACTTCCTTCCTTGGAAGAATATCTGTCTCTAATATGCCCTGCATTA